GCAGATGGCCGCATCGGCACAATTTGAGCGTGCCGAGGCGGGCATGGGAGTGAAGCTTGAGCCAACGACAACATTGAAGCTCTCTGAAAGTGCCAGCAGGGTAGTACGACGATTTGGCGCCGGCTCGTCGACGACGATGGTGCACCGAAACGATCACCTGGAGGGCGCAACGGATCAATTTTTGGTTCGGAGCGGTGGAGAAGGTGCAGGAGCACCTTGTTGTTCTTCTTCGAGTGCTGCGGCAACTTTGAGTTTGACCGGAGGTTTTATGTGTCCTTCGATTCCGCGCTCCTATTTGCATGACGAGCCCGATTCTGCTGCTGCTGCTGCTGCTCAACAAACGAGCGACGGAGCATGTCAACTGGCCTTGTCAGCGGGGCCTTATTCGACATCCTCTTTCGTGGCATCGAACACTGCAGCAACAGCAGCAGCCTGCCAGATTCCTTCAGGTAGTAATTACGCAAATAATTGTGCGGCAGTGGCTTGTACGGGTCACTTTGCCGCGGCCGGTTATTCAGCCGAAAGTCAGCAGCAGTCGAATGCACAAGGTTGTCTTCCGATGGGTGCATTGCCTCTTCTAGTGACATCTCGAGAACGTCAACGTCCTTCTGTAGCAGTGGCAGCAGCAGCACACCAACAACAGCAACTGTGCGTTGGAGGTGCTCGAGAGCTATGCCTAAGCCGTTCGTCTTCATTATGTGCGCTATCATCCGGGCAAGAACTACGATCTGGATCAGCAAGGAGCTCAGGAGCAGCTCTAGAGAATGTTCTAGCTCTAGAGAAGGCACAACGAGCGGAATTTGGTCGACATTCGACAAGGTGAGATGATATTTTGTGCAGTTTGTTTGATTCATTAGGAGGGTTTGACTTGATTTTTTGGCGTAAAGGGTGTAGGTGGTTTTGGCGTTTGGTCTAAAGACGTTCGTGAGAGCTATTTAGATTTTAATTTAATAAAACAGGTCAGCGTAGTGTGGTCAGTTTTCATTTTGCAGTAGTTCATCAGCAAGCCCATGCTCATCTTCGGCCTCGCCTTCGGCATCGTCGGCGTGTACGTGCACAAGCGCGACCGTAACCGCTGTCACCCATGGAATCGAGAAGAGGGCGATCAGCCCTGCCGCTGCCGCTCTGTTGAAACGCCGACATTGTGTTGCTGCCGCTGCCGAAGTGTCGTCTTCGAGACGACTCTCCAAGAAACTGGTGCAGTCGTCCAGCAGCCACGAATGTGCTCATCCAGGCTGCCGCAAGAAATACAGTAAAAGCTCCCACCTGAAGGCGCATATGCGAACGCATAGCGGTGAGAAGCCGTACTGCTGCAATTGGCCATCGTGTGGTTGGAAGTTTGCGCGGAGTGACGAGTTGACAAGGTGAGTGGAATCTGTTTGAGGGGCACAATAGGTTGAACGAAGGATTTATGAGGTTGGCGCTGAGTTGGAGGCGTTTGTAAGTAAGTAAGTAAGTGTATGTGTCAGTCACAAACGGCTATCTGTCAATTTAAGGCACTATCGAAAGCACACGGGTGATCGACCGTTCAACTGCAGTCTATGCGATCGTGCCTTCTCAAGGTCGGACCACTTGAGTCTTCACATGAAACGACACTCAATCAACGCGCCCAGCTGTTCGTCTCCAGCTGCAGCAGCAGCCGTCACTGCAGGTTCGCTTTCAAATTCACTTGCAGCCGCACAGTCTCGGATTGACTAATTTAACTGGTTTTTTGGTGATTAATTATTCGATGGTGTTAAATTATTACTGTTTGTTATTATTGTGTTCTAATGGATTCAGTTATGTGCCTCATGACGATGTTTTGCCTCTGCG